TCAACACCTGTGACCCTGGTGACTTGCGGTATGTCAGACTCACTATCCATGGTAAAATGACAGGTGAAGGACCAGAGACAAGCTGGCTGATTACTACACTGGCTATGCAATATTTATTAGAATGATTTTCTGTCAAGAATTAGGTTCACCTTTAAGCAAGAAATATTTAAGGATTTAAATTGAACAAAATATATAGAAATCAAACTCCTGGAGAAGTTCTAGTCATGATTTTAAAAGCTAAATGCTAGAATAACTGTAACTGAGTACAAATAGTCCTCCAAAGGGGACCACAGCCTTGTACAAACTTTAAGCAGTGTGCACCAAGGTAAAGAGAAAATGGAAAATAATGCTCCAGCATAAGGCTAACCACCACCTTACTATTTTCACAGAGAAATCTTTGGCTTTGTGCATAGAAGCTAACTACTCAAATTGTAATAACATTAACATCATCTGGGAATTAGAAAAGCAGATACTTAGGCCCCACACTAAACCTACTGGATTAATCAGCCTAAACCTACTGGATCAGAATCAGCACCCCAGGTGACTTATTGCACATTCAAGTTTGAGAAGCACTGGTGTAGAATACTTTAAGGGTGGACTACATATAGCAGTATACATATAAAGTATCAAACAGACAAATAAAACACAAAGTACCGTTCACCTTCTGTATACCATATTTTATTAGGTACTGCCCAGAAAGACCTCCAATGTTTTTTAATAAATTTGGTACTTACTAATGACCTTATGATCAAAATGTGGGATCTACTTCACTTCCTGAAATAACACAGCTCTAGGGTTTTCATGCACATGAAATATAAAACAGCTTAGTTGTTCTGAAAATACAATTACGGTTAATTTTATTCAAGTTCCAATACTGAGTTCAGAGCACTTCTCCACAAGACCCATTAATTCCTACAGGTTCCTGGGAGTATCATTAAATCCCACAGCATCCCTAAGAAGCAGGTGCTTGGCAAACATCCAATCTTCAAATGAGATTCAGAAGGACGTGGTCCTGAAAAGCAGTATTTTCCTGCCACATCCTGCCAGTGTACCTTCTCAGGCCCAAACGCTCTCCCCACTGAGGCCTCATACAGCTGCACACTCAAGTACTTCCCAAAAGGGAGAAAGGTCAGAGGTGTCATTACCCTATAAGCACTTGAGATTCCAGCTGTGGAGAAATTAATCTGGTTAAGGTTCCGGCTGAGAAGCCCTGAGTAAGATCTGGAAAGACAGAGGGAAACACAAAAGAAAGAGCCTACTGAGAGGCTTTTAAGAGAAGTTTCAGGCATTTGCAGATTTTAAGGTGGGGGTTGGGAGCAAGATTTGGCAGTGAGGGGATTACAGGGAGAGAGAAATATCCATCCCCCACCTGTACCCCAGGAACAAGAACAAAAAGAGTGACCAAGAGATTCCTTCAAATGACCTCTTTCCTTGATAAAAGGAAGAAAGCCAGTGAAGGGAGGAAGTTTATGAGCTAGAAGCAAGACTGAAAGAATCTCTTGAGGTTTTGCTAGGTTTTTTTTTTTCCAATGAAGGGAAATAAAGAAAACAAGAAAAACAATACCCATCTAACTTGAATCTTACCGGAAGCAAACCACCAGAAGGATTATGAACCCTGTGAAAAACCAAAGAAATGCAAGAGGATTCCTTCCCAGTTTAAATCCAGTGTTTGGGAGTCAGGCAGTCCTGAACTTGAGGCCATTTCCAGAGCATGAGGAAGAATGAAGAAAATCTCTGCAGCCAACAGTAAGCAGAGCAGTGTCCAAGGGAAGAAAGAAACCAGAAAAATGCCTGGGGATAAGGCAAGCCAAAAGAGTTCCTGTTAGTAGAATGATAAAAGATAAAGTGGCCCTAGAACGACAACATGCAGGCACCCTTTTGCGGGGGCAGGGGGAATCCTCCCCTAGGAGGAGGGGAATTCAGGAGGTAGGAAGTGTGCTGAGAAAAAAGGCCACAGAGCAGAGAAAGTGCTGCACTGAAGAAAAATATGCATTCACTAGAAGAAGGAAGAGGAAATGGGTGCACTGACCAGACAGTGAGAGCACCTAAAAAGAAATGGGGTTCCAAAGAGGGAAGGAAACAGAATAAAGAAAAAATCATGGATGGCAGAGAAGCTCAAGAACCATGGACCATCACCTGGGAATGAGAGGACTCAGAAAAAAGGTGTGCCCTCCTAGATTTAAGAAGCACCAGGAAGGTGGGTACACCATAAGAACTGTGTAACCAAAATAAGTGCACGCTGTAAATTTGAGGGACACAGGAAATAAACACACCTAGGAAATAAGGTGGTCCGATTTAGATAACTCATGAAAAAGGGTGAAACCCCAAGAATACAGTGACTGGAAAAAGCAGTGAATTCCCTTCTGTTAATACAAATATGTATCCTAAAACTTCAGGATTTGGATCTCATGTTCGATAGACTCTGTAACTAAGGTGCACCCCTAGATTTGAAGGGTTGGAGAAAGGAAGCAGCCCCGAAATTTCAGAAATTCTGGAAAGCATGTTGCCAGATTTGGGGCCTGGAAAAGGGGATTCTTCTTTGGATTTGTGGGAACAGGAGTACCCCAAAACTTTGGTTATTGGATCCCAGGTATGAAACTTGCTAATGGGGAGAACCCCCAAATTTGAAAGGAAGTGCTTACTCAGACTGGAGGCTCGAAAAGGGAGTGTCCTCCCAGTTTGGGGGTCGTGGGTAAGGGGGTACATCCTCAGTTGGGGAGGCTTTGGAAAATGAGGTAAAATCCCAGGTCTGGAACTTAAGAAAGGGGGTACATCGACCACATTTTCTAAGAACTATAGAGAAAGGGGACACTCCCGTATCGGGGGCTTGAGAAAGGGGTGTGCTTCCCATAATAGGATAAGAGTCAATAAAAGAAAACGCGTTCCCAAAGCACAAGGCGACAGCTGGGGTTGGTGAGCTCTCAGGGGCCACACAGCTCAGACTCTAGTCCTAGAGCTTACCCCCCACCCCCATACCGCCCGCTCC